GAGCAGTCGTTGAGCCGTTGGGCCCTAGCAGCCTTCAGCAACCTTGGGTGGATCCTGGGCCACCCATTCAAATGAACGATACGCCAGATTGAGATCTGACAGGGGCACGTGACGAGAATGTGGGAGATGGCCCTAGATTGCAGTGACAGCGAAAAAAAGGGAAAAAAAAAACACCATGACCTTCTCGCTCGGAGCATCGTCGCCGGAATTTCGCGCATCTTCGCGGACTGATTGTCGGTCACCCAATTGGGACATATCTCCCTGCCCGTCAATTCGTGAGTGGGCATCTATTCTTGCCAACAGCCAGTTGCAGACAGCCTCATGGGTGGCTGCGCAAAGTCAAGCAGCAATCGGCATGGTGACGGCACATATATGCCGCTGAGCTACCTTGTCCCTTTCGACCTCAGCCCCCCTCCCCTCGTCTACCTCTATGCACACCAAGGCCCGGTTCCTCTTGTACAGGGGCTCCAGGTTTTGCTGGCTAACCAACTGCAGCCGAATCCTGCGTTGGAGCCGAACCTTTTTACTTTACTGAGTCAGGCGAAAGCTACATTAGGCTGACTCTCTTGATTGCGGCCCCATGTCACGTCTCCTCTCTGCCACTTTACCCAGAGAAGAACACAGAACGTGCATTTTTGTCTCATTTGCGCCAAAAGTTTGGCAGTTGACAGCAGCATGAAGGCGACAGCTCTTGAGCTTCCGTGGCGTTTGCCATGCAGCTGAAATGAAGACCGTTCCATTCATGGCCTCCCCCCTCCTACCAAGCGGCCCCCAGCATTCCAATCCAGCCGCAGTCCCATCTGACCTCCCTTGCAATCGGGCCACGATGGCTGCCAGCCGCAGACTGTGCCGTTCAGCACCCAGCCCTACGAAGTCGTGGTGGCTTGGGTGTCAAAGCTAGACTTCTCTCGGCCGCCATTCACACCCAGTGGGTTGGCTCCACGGGGTTCTCAGCCCCCAAGCCTCTTTCGCGACAGACGTGCAGTCCGACCATTGAGTTTGGTCGTCAGCAGGCAAAGGGGGGGGGGGCGCGGCCGGGGTCTGTCCGCCGTTCCATCCTTGTCCGTGGGAATCGCTGCCTTGAAGGGGGGGGGAGGATGTCAAGCGAGCGCATTTAGTTCTGGCTGTCCCCCCAGGAATTTAAGCGCGCCCATGGAGGAATGCGTTGGTCGGTCCAATAAGTTTTGTTTGCTTTGCTCACTTTGTCAACACCAAGGAAGGGAACTACTCCTTCAAGCTCGCGATAGCTTGGGCGTCGATCAAGCGCAGCTCCAGCCCAACGACCGTTGAGACGACTTGCTTCTTCTTCCCAGTTCCCTCTTTACACTGGTTCACACGCGCGCGCATTTGACAACACACCCCATTCGTTCGCACGTCGCACATCGCAACGAAACACCATGCGGGTCTATCCTATCTACAAAACGCCTTTTTTGGCGCTTCTCTTCCCTCGCCGGGTTCGGGCCGCCTGCCGTCCTGCCGACCATGTCAGAATGCCGTCCACCGGAAAAAGGTGCAGCCCTCGCGGCGCTTGCGTTCCTGCGGTCACCAAGGGGTCTCTTCGCCTTACTGGTTCAACAGACCTCCCCGCCCTTTTTTGAATCCCGCGGACCTTGAGTCCCTGCCTCGTGAAACGCGGGGCTGCACGCCCGCCGAAAGCAGCCATCGAGGGCCCTCTGGACCCTCAAACGCTGCGAAACGTGCCGTCGGCCACAGCAAGAAGGGGGCAGCCGACAGCAACGAGGTGGCCGACCTCCGACGCCGCTCTCCACAGGCCGCCGCCGCCACGCCCGCTACAACCCCCGTCGCCAACGCTCCCCGCCGCCGCCGACGGCTTCGCCTTTGACGGCACCTCGATGCGCCCCTGCTCGACGACGACGACGAAGAGCACGACCATCTGCCCGGTCCAGACGACGGCACGGCGGCGGCGCGCAGCTCTCGTGCTCCCGACAGAGGTGCTCAAGGCCAAGTGCGCCGACGACATGTGGTGCGCCAAGAAGCCGGGCCACTGCAAGGTGCTCAACAACAAGCTCGACACGTCGGGCGTCGTCGTCGCCATCATCTCTCGGGGGCCCATTGTCGTCGCGGCCCTCGGCATGTGCGTGCTCCTGCTGGCGCGACAGCAAGCGGCAGAAGGGCATCCGGGCGCGGGCCGAGGCCGCGGCGCTGGCGGCCAGGGAGCGGGAGAAGAAGCGCGCGGCGGCCGACGAGGCCATGGGCGCGGCGCGGAACGGCGGTGACGGCGGTGTCAAGGCGCCGCTGATCCAGTCGTACGAGGAGGATCCGTTCAGGGAACACCAACGCTACTAAGGCATTCATGTGCTGCTGCTTATACCTTTTTTTTTTTTTTTTTTTTTTGTCTCTCTTTTGTTTATTGCGCAATCATCATCATATAGCATGGAGTGCAGGGCTGAAGAACAGGGTCATGGCGTTCGCGTGAGCCTGTTTTCGATACATGATACCTCAATTGTACACCTATCTCAACACAGCTAGTATTCCTGTGATCAAATCGTGAGAAACAAACCCTGACGTGACGAGCATACTTTGAGTTTGACACGAAACGGATGCGAGTCGCGAAACTGTCGGGACCTTCGGGAAGAGATTACCTGATCCAGTATCAATTCGACAAGGGACGACCCATCGGCGGTAAGTCCCGATGTCATGACTCTGCGGAAACTTAATATTTCATTCAAAAAGGCAACAGACTCACTGATCCCGTCTAGTGGTAACTTGTAAACGAAGCAGAAAAAGGCGAAAAGGAACAGTCATGTGTGACGCGTCAGGAATTGAGCCCAACGGGGGGCTCGAACCCCCAACCTTGAGATTAAGAGTCTCACGCTCTACCGATTGAGCTAGCCGGGCAGGCAGGTTGCTTGTTGTTGGAGAAGGGCTCGGAAGCAGGGATTATGTCGGAACACTCTGTAGTCAGATTTTGCCTCTTGGTGATGCCGCGGTGATGCCCTACAGTATAAGCCGGATTGTTGTGTCATCCAAGCTTGGGAGGAACCGAAGAAGTCTGGATTACTGAGTCGCAGATCATAATGAGGTGCGTATTCTAGATGTGAATTAGGGTCAGGAAATCGTAACGGCAAGGGAAGTAGGTAGGAATGCGCCCGAGGGTGACGAAGTCGGCCAAACCATGAACTCGATGCTTGAGTCAAGGTTGGTGGTTTCAGTTGGATCAACGACAGAATTGGAGACCAGCGAGATGATAAATGGCGAATGCATAGGTCAGTGAAGTGACCTGAGGACAGATCACAGATGCGCATCCATGCCGACAGCGGCGTCAATCTCGTGACGAGGCCGATGAGACCCGCAATAGTACCCCGCCACAACTGCCCGTCACAGGCCGGATACGACGTCATCGCTCATCACGGCTCGGAACGTTGAAACGCGTCAAGCGGCGCTCTGAACGCTCAACGATTGCTTGCCTGTTTGTGGCATGTTGCTTGCTTTCTGCTAACTTGGTGTGGCGGCTCATCGACTCCTTATAAGTCTAGCTGTCTCGCCATTCTGTCTCTGTACTTCTCCTCCCATCTCAACTTGCACCTCTCCAAAACTCCACGACGACCACCAGATCAGCCAAACAGTAAACACGATGCCTCTCGTCGTGCCAGGAATTCAGAGCCAGTCGGGCGACCTGACTGAAGAGTGGACCAATAAGCTCGTCGGCAAGACGCTGCACGACGAAAAGTCCGACGAGACAGTATGTTCTAGGTATCTGCCTTAGCCGCCATGCCCCAGTCGCTGACACGTCTAGTGCTTCTGCAAGAAAGACCTCCCCGAGAAGAGCCGCGTCATCAAGCCTGGCCAGATGGTCACCAAGGACTTTGACGAGAACCGTCTGAACGTGCATGTCAAGGACGACGGCACCGTTTCCCACGTCGAGCGCGGTTAAGCGGGGTACCTGTGATGGTGATGGTGATGGTGATGGTGGAACATGTGCCACAGCCTGAAGGCCACGGCCTCTAGAGAAAGCGTTGTACAATAGCATAGTTGATGAATCACGATACACGAGATGATAATTATCCCTTCATGTTCTAAACCCTCATTTCATTCTCTCGTCATTCTTCAGTCAATCTGTCGAGACCAGCCCCCGCTATTTAACCTGCACGCCTTTCTGCATCTCGGAGCTACAATTGCATAGCCGAAGTCTACCCCGCCATCGCCTGCCCAGCGACCGCCGCCGTGGTGCGGGGCAGTGAATCTGAACCTGCTCAGGACGCAACTCTCCAAGCCAACGCCAAACCCGACCTTCACGACCCTCCTTTAGCCATTCTCCCATATCAAGCGATACGACGCTCCCGTTCCCTCTTTTATCGATCCCACCTCACGACCGCCATCATGTTCAAGAAAGAGTGCGTCCTCTACCCAAATCTCCCCCACCCAATCCCCGCCTGTTGCCCCAATCTACCTTCCAAAGCTCATCCAGCTAACGCCCAACCCTCCCACAACACAGCCTTCCCGTGAACCCGAAATCCAAGCTCAAGTCCTCCGTCCAGCGTTCGATCCGCCAGTCCGTCCTGCAAACCTACCCGCTCATCGAGCCGCACATCGACGAGATCCTGCCGAAAAAGGCCCACCTCGAGCAGATGAAGCTCCCCGAACGCATCGCCCTCTACATCGTCGACTCGCAGCCCCTCTTCTGGCAGCAGGACAACGACACCCTGCTGCCCCACCTCAAGCTCGTCCACCGCTTCCCCGGCGCCTTCCCGACGCTGCGCATCGACCGCGGCGCCATCCGCTTCGTCCTGTCGGGCGCCACCCTCATGGCCCCCGGCCTCACGAGCGCCGGCGGCCGGCTGCCCGATCCGCAGGACGGGCCCGAGAGGGCCGAGGACGGGCGGTGGACGCGCGAGCTGAAGAAGGGCGAGCCGGCTGTCATCATGGCCGAGGGCAAGACGGAGGCGTGCGCCGTGGGGCTGCTCGTCGCCGGCACCGAGGAGACCAAGGATACGAAGAAGGGGCCGGTCATGGAGGAGGCGCATTATCTCGGCGACGGCCTCTGGAGGCTGGCGACCGATTGAGGAGACGGCGGCGGCGCAAGAGGACTGTCTGGGGCATACATGGGGGCAGACTGTGTTGTATATTCAACTGATGGGGCGGCGGCGAGGAGTTGGTGTTGCGGGTTGCAAAATGGGTGGCCTGTATGGGGAACGGGCCTGGGCCTGGCTTGTGAGCGGCGTGGTGACTGGCACGTGGTACGATGAAATGATGACGAAATGCATAGATTGCGAGCACTTAGGCTACTTTCGTTCTGTTGTCTCCCGTCTATCGTGAGATCTGTCTTGCCCCTCCGCGGCTCCTGTCTACTCATCCCAAGAACGTGTCTCTTTGTACCCTATGCCACTTCGGAACTGGTCTCCTGCTTCCGTTTGGGGCCCCTTGTCTCGAACAGATCCTCATATGCTTGATGGTGCCGTGCCATCGCAGCTCGTCCAACCTCTTCGCCCTTTCGGCTGATAAAATCGTGCACATTCTCCAAGATGAAGAACCCATCCTTGTCCCTCATCGGTGAATCCTCATCCGGCAAAACGCCAAAGCCCGTGTCGCCTTCGATGATGACCTTCTTCAACGCCTTGATCGTGCAACCTCGATACTGGCAGGCGTACTTGTCGGTCGGGTCCGCGGCGGGAAAAGCGCCCTTGATGTCCTTCCATACCGCATCGGTCTGTTTCTCTCGGATGTACTCATCCAGCCGTCGGTTGTATTCGGCTTCGACGTGGAAACGGGTAAAACCTCCTGCCTGATCTTGTCCCGAGACGTCCGCTGCGTCATGTACCGCCCCTCTGACGGGAGCGTGGCACAAATTCGTCGATCCACTTGCTGAAATTCG